TTACTGATCTGGACGAAGTCTAGTCGTCCGTAGTGTTGATGTCGGCGAAGCTCCTCAGGGTCGTCGTCCGTCGAAGTGGCGGGTAGCCAAAAAAAAATCCCATATCGATAGCGATGTGGGGTCCGACCCCAAAATTCGAGGTCCAGCCGCCAACATCCCTGCTTGCATCAGCGGAGCAACATATTTTCCGAGCACCCAGAGGAACTGCACTCCAGGTCTATCCGAACTTTTTTGAAGCTTCGTGTTGGCCGGGTCCCAGTCGCGCAGAAAGCTAAAGTCGACGAACGTGAGAGACCAGCAATTGGACCGACAAACGAGGTCCGACTGTCGCTCTGTCCAACGACAACAAAAGATTTCAAACCCTCATCAATCAAAAGATGAGTCGCACATTGCTGCGCTCCGTCCTGGAGCTCAGGACACCCATCACGCGACTCCCGCCGACCTTCCTCCTCCCGATCCACGCCCGCCGCTTCAACTCCACGGCACCCATCATCGAGCCCGCCGCAGCCGCACAAGATGCGCCTCCCGTCGGCGCGCAAACCTCCTCAATAGCACAACAGGCCGCCGCCGGCGCCGCCCAGCCGTCGACGCCGTCCGCAACGACCCCGATCTCCGAATCCGTGCAGGCGGCGCTGCCCTTCCTAGCGGCCCAGCCCAACCACTACATCACCTTCCACATCCATGGACGCCCGTACCTCGTCCAGCCCGGCGATAGCGTCCGCCTGCCCTTCAAGATGCCTGGCGTCGTGCCTGGCGACGTCCTCCGCCTCAACCGTGCCTCGGTCATCGGTAGCAGAGATTACACCCTCAAGGGCTCACCCTTCATCGACGAGCGGGTATACGAGTGCCGTGCCGTGGTGACGGGCACGGAGAGCGAGCCGATGAGAATGAAGGAGAAGACGAAAAGGAGGCAGCGGAAAGTGAAGACGGTCAAGAGCAAGCACCGCTACACAATGCTGACGATTAGCGAGCTTAAGATCAATGCGCCTGAGGAGATTGAGGCTTAAGAGGCAGGGCTGGGGGGTGTGCAAGCTTGTTCGAGTATGAATCAGGAATAGTAGGCCATGGATCGTATGATTTCATGTCCTTGTATTGTTCCCCGTCGGGGCTGTACCAATAGACAAATAAATACATTCACGTCATATGGGATTGGGGACTTTGATGGTCGCCGAAAATGTTGAAGCCAAGAGGCTGTAGTACAATTGATAAGACGCATTGTCTAGGTCTGCGTCTCCAGAAAAAACGTGCCCAATCACGGGGGAAGGCCGAAGCCTAGGGAATCAATATTGAAAACAGTGGTGGGGAAGAAAACGACTGCACGAAGCAGTTGAACAAGAAGTAAAACAAACAGCCCAAGAAACTCCGAGCTATGGATATTCCGATGATCATTAAACCCAAGTAATGTCTCCATGACGCCTGATCCAACAACAATGCTCATACGCTTTCATCACCTGCTAGGATTCGTTGCTTTTTTGACGCTGGTCCAGTAAGCCGACGGCCACACAGACATGGCCTCCGCATCTGTCGGCATGCGTTCTCGACACCTCGAGACAACGCTCTGGATGATTCTACCAAGCAGCTCTTCGTCAATGGGAAGCGCCTTTTCGCTCATCTCAGTGGGGTATAGGAAAGGATCGGTCTCGTGAAGGAGTTCTTCACATGAAGGTCGCATGTCGACGTCACGGTTGAGACACCGCCTCAAGGTTCGCAGCAGAGAAGGAGGTACTGGAACTCCACCCATGGCCCTGGACGGGAATTCAATGTCGTGGTCCCAGTTGATGATGGCTTGGCACTTTGCCATTTGATTGCTGATGTGGCCAAAGGGAGGCATTCCGTAGACCAGTTGGTACAGAATACACCCGAGAGACCAGACATCGCTCGGCTTTCCAACTTTCATCAGCTTAGGTCGTCCAGGAACTCGGCCGCCTCGAGGCGCATTGGAATCTAGGAGCGACTCTGGCGACATGTAATTCGGTGTGCCCACTTGCGTTTCGCGGTGAACGTTGACAGTCTCATCTGTTCGAATTGCATTGGCAATACCGAAATCGATGAGTTTCAAGCGACCCTTGACAAGAACGAAATTGGCTGGTTTGAGATCGGAGTGCACGATTTCGGACTGGTGTACCGATTGCAGGCACTCCAGCATTTCTTTCCAGTAGAAGCGGACCAAGACCGAATCAAATTTAGGCGATTCGGGATTTTGGCGACTCCTGAGAAGGGTGTGGAGATCCAATTCGCCCATTTCCATAAGCTGAGTACGGGTTAGCCATGCCATCACGATCCAACGGAGGGTGACTTACTAAAGTGAGCATTTTCTTTTCACTGTTCATCTCGTAGTCGAAAAGGTTGATGACTCGTTCATTGCCTCTCAGCTTGCCAAGTAGGTCGATTTCGCCCTTGTAGCCCCGGACGGTCAACTCGTCCGCATTCTCCAGCGATACTCTTTTCAGTGCAAACATTGCTCCGTTTTCGGCAGTAACACGGTAGACCTTAGCGCTACCGCCCCGGCCCAGACAGTCGAGCCTTGTGTAGGACTTTCCGTTGACACGGAGGATATTTCGCCTTTGCTTGCCTTGAGTAGTTGTCGCTGCGCCTGCGGATGTGGTGGCAGCATCAAGAACAGACATCTTAGGCGGAGGCGGAGGAGCGGCTCGGCGCGGAGTGTTGTTGGCCAGGGAAGCCAGAGGCTTGCGCTCAGGAGATGCCGCGGGTCTTTGTTGAGCAGCCTCGGGGTTGATCGAACGCCTGACTACTTTTTCCATGACCATTTCGGCAGGCTTGATGGCGGTAGGCCTCGTACTTCGTACTATAGACACTGGTTCATTCTCCTGATCGTGGGAGGAGGGAACTTGAGGGCGCGGCGCAGGCAACCTGTAATGAATCTCTTCTGGCTCGTCTCTTTCTTGGGGAGAATGGCGCGCAGAAGAAGGGGCCGGTGGTTCAGCATACGACGTAGGCCTGCGATGCGTTGCTCTGGAAGGATCGCTCAATGCGACTGGACTGCCTGATGACATTTGTCTGCCGTTGCCATAGAAGGATGATGCCACGTCGTTCTCCATGTCTGCGCCGTGTCCATCGTGATATTGGCTCGAGATCAGACCCTCGCCATCGCCATCGCCATTAGCCTCCGCCTCCTCCTCACTCTGCCTTCTGCGCCCACGTCGAGCGGGGCCGCTCAAGAAGCTTCCAGGAATCTTGCCTACTCGCTTGACGCGCATTGAGCCCTGCAGTGCGAGATTGTCCTCAGCCTTGGTGGTTCTTCCAGCATTGGAGGCTTGTCGGGACACACTGCCAGGGTTAACACCGGCGGCGTGGCGTGCTACTGTGAATGGCTCCTCCGGGTGGTCCTGTTCCATGTGGGAACCTGAACGCCTAGAATGACTGGATGAGTTGGTGAGGCGACTTCTATTGCCAGACGAGCCAGCAGCAATCCGGACGACGCGAATACCTTGGGCTGGTGTGTTGACATCTTGGGGCGGGTCATTCTTCTCATCCGAGGATTGGTTTCGGCTCTCTGGCCGACTTCTAGATTGGGGACGTTGGTTGGTTGATCGGGACAGCGAGGTAGACCTCCTCTTGGCGGGACGCATCTGGCCAAGGCTTTTGGGCGTATTGCTGAGTCTCACAACTCTTTTCCGCACAGGGCTATTCTCTCTGCTCTGTAGCGGCGACGTGGGTTTTGTTGACCTTGTGTCGTACGCTTGGGCACTTCCCGATCGGAGGGACCTTCTCTCCTCCGTTGCAGAGCTCGTAGACGCGGCAAGGTTACTGACGCGGCGACGTGTTCTAGGCGGTGAAGCTGCTCGTTGCGGTTCAGGGCCGCTTCCATCGTTGAGAAGTGCCTTGGTGAGGGCACTGAGCTTCATAGGCACGGGTATCTCGTCATCGGAGCTATCGTGCATGGCGTACTGCTGCGAGTCTGCCTTTTTTGAGAGCGCGGGTGCAGCGGCGGTCGCATGAACAGGGTTGGATTCGCTTCGATTGAGATGTGGACGAGAGGGCAGCCTCCTGAGGCCTTGTCGTACGGACATTTTTCGTGACAGGCCGGTTCCGGCGGTGCCCAGCGGCGTGGGAGAGGCTGTCGATATTTCGAGCTGGTGGGATAGTTTGTTGTTCCAATTTTGCGCAACGGGGGGCTGGGAATTAGTGGCGCGAATCTCCACGTCTCGACGGCCAAACACCTTCCGCCAGAAAGAAAGGGATTGATTTTGGCGATTGAACACTGTTTTACGTGTCAAATGTGCCCATGATCCGAAAGATTGCAAATGGAGGAGAAATTAGTTTATGCGGCGCGTCACTAGCATCTTGTATGTCGGAGGGATGTGTCGATTCCTTGTCAATTGAGGACGTTCCCAGTATTTGGGGCTAGCAGGGGTCGGCCAATGAGAAATCAAGACCGGGGGATGTTGTTGTCGGAGCAACGATGGGCTGAACAGCAAAGCGTAAGGCGACACATTCATCGTTGGGCACATGGAATTTGAGCTTGGGACTAGACGCTGAGCCTTGCCTGAGGCCACAACAAGTCTCTAATGCCTGCAGCCTACCTTCCATCTTTAAGTTGACGTAATCCCCATGTAAGGCGGCAAGGTATCTTTTCGCTTAAGATATACCGAGCGAGACCAGTCACAGTTTTCGGTCTTAGGTTTTCAAAAATGGTTGCGCCCGATTTACGTGCATCTTGTCGCGAACATGTTGCCCCACATGAAGCGGACTTTGAGCTTCGTAGCATTATGACGAGAGCGCTAACATTCAAAGCTCGAGTTGACATGCATTTGTTTCACTCACTAGTCAATCAGGGGGAAGCACACGACTAAATCATTTCGGGCAACATTGTTCAAAGAACCAGCGAGCTTTTTATTTGACCGAACCTAGCAGATGTTCCTACACAAACGTGTGCCGAAGCCCAACCCAAGAGAGATTTCCCCATGTCAATGACTTGTGAAAACGTCGGCCGATTGCTGCGTATATTCTTCGATGAGGCGAGGGCGTGAGAGGGGTATTTAGTCGAAGAGACCGAATCCCATGTCCTCGTCGGACTCCTCCTTCTCCTCCTCCTTCTCCTCCTTGGGGGCGTCCTCAGCGGCACCACCGGCAGCAGCACCGCCGGAAGCAGCGGCGGCACCACCAGCGCCACCAGAGGGAACAGAGGCAAGCTTGCTGGAGCCCTCAGCGATGAGCTGTGTACCTTGTTAGCATCTACATCCTTTGCGCCTATCGCGATCAAAGTCGTAACGAACCTCGTTGATGTCCTTGCCCTCAAGCTCGGAGATGAGCTTGTTCAGGCGCTCGTCATCAGCCTCAATACCGACGGACTCAAGGACGGCCTTGACATCCTTGGCAGAGGGGGAGGTGTTGCCACCGAGGCCGAGGAGGAGGAAAGCGGCGAGGTGCTTCATCTTGAATGATTTTCTGCGACGAACGATTGTTAGAAAAGAGGGATCGTAATTTTTTGCGCCGGCGTCGAGAATATGAAGAACGATTGGCGACGAGATGGAGATCAAGCGTAGAGAAGAAGGGGGAAAACTCACTGTTTGTCGTAAAGAACACGAGAGGTCAATCAATTTAACCGCGAAGTTGGGCGGAGACTGAATCTTCGAGTCTTGGGAGATTTTCGCGTGGTTGTTGAGATTCGGAAGGTTGTCGGAAATGGAACTTTTTTTTCGTTTTGTGAGCCAGAGGGTGCGGGACCCTACCTTAGGGCGGGGAGGGCGGTCGGTGGCTGGGATAGCCGACTAAAAACCTCACAAGCCACACTTGTCCTGTCTTTGGCTTCTCCAGCCACACTCAAGACCCCCCTACATCTGCTCGGCCCGTGGGCCACTGACAGCCTTCTGAATTCTACCAACAGAAATTGACCGAGAGCCCAGCGTCAAAGCGCCAAGGGCCCAGTGGATCTCACTCCACCGGAATCGGAGCCACTCCAGCTTCCGGATAGGCTAACGGATTGGACCACAGTCCAAGGAACCTAAGATAGGTGGACGGTACTGGAAGGACGGTACCAGTGATTCCACCCCCCAGGCCAACATATATAAACTTGCCGACTCCAACGCCACTTCCTTTTGTCCCCTACACCCAACTTTCGATTTTAACGACCGTCGGGTGTTTGTGCTGTGCGCTTCGCGACCGCCTTCTTATTTTTCGCGATTTTTCCTCATTTTTTCTCTACCATTTCTCGTCTCCCAGACCCGACGGACACGCCCGCGTGTTCAGTCTTTTGAGAGGGGGCCGCTGAAGCGCAGAAACTTGAGTTCTCGTACTTTCCACACTGATGACTCAAGCGTCCGCCTGATGCATCCTGACGGCCGCTGCAAGCAACATAGACACTTGCTTGACGATATTTGGCTTTAGCAGTCCGTCACCATGCCTGTAAGTGCTCTGGAGATGCGACGACACGTTTTAGCGACTTCTGGGGCAGGGCTGACGACGGGTGGTTCACAGATTGGAGATCTCCTCGCCCAAATAAGTGGCGATAAGTCACAGAGCACATCGCCAGCTCCATCGAGGCCAGCCCTCCCGCCCCCGAAACGGAAAGCCGACGACGACCTTCGCAGCACCGTCTCGAACAAGCTTCCGCGAACAAGCACAAACGGTGCCAGCTCGTCTGCACCCCCCAGATCTGCAGATGCTCAGAGACCCGCACGGCCCGCGGAGAAGTCTTCGACAACAACCACTGGCTATCGAGGCAGCGCCGGACGACCATCCGATCGATCCACGTCTGCGCCTAGGCCTGTCGGAAATGGCACGACGTCCGCGAAATCCAGCTCTTCCGGCGCCAGGCCGGTGAATGGCTCGGGCACGTCTAGGGTGACATCGACACTGCCTAGTCGACCATCTCCGTCAGCTCCTGCCGCGGCACCGAAAGGTGCACCGCCAAAGAAGGGATCTTTCGCCGAGATCATGGCACGGGCTCAACAGGCTCAGACCAAGCTGGGCCAAGTCGGCAAGATTCAGCACAAGCCGGTGGAAAAGGTGTTTACGAAGAAAGAGCGGGAGGAGATGAAGAAGGATTTTAAGAAGGACCCTAAGGGCGCAGCAAGGCCAGTGTCGAAATTCCAGGGTACCTCAAGGCCGTCTTCGGCTCCGCCTTCACGTAATGGGGTCAGTGCAATCGGATCAAGCGCCAGCCGTAACGGAACCGCCGACAGAGCGAGAGACCCCAGGGCCGGCGTAAAGGCACGCGCGGCTGCCGCCGAGGAAGAGCAGCAAAAGAAGCTCAAGAAAGCCGCCGTCGCTACCACAGGATACACAGGCACCGCCCGCCCGAAACCCGGAGCTACCTCGGCAAAGAAGAAGCCGGCACCAGGAGGCGCTCTCCTCAACTCCCGACCCGCCCCGCGGTACGGCGGCTCCGCGAAACGCTCACGTTACGACGAGGAAGAGGAGGAGGAATTCGACGACTTTATCGAGTACGACGAAGACGAGGAAGACGATCGCGGCCCCCGGTACCACTACGACTCTGATGGGTCTTCAGACATGGAGGCCGGCATGGATGACGTGTGGGACGAGGAAGCGGCGGCTGAGCGCGCCGCCCGCCGCGAGGATATCGAACAGGAGCGGCTCGAGAAGCGTCTCAAGGCCGAAAAGGAGGAGCGCAAGCGCAGATTCTACGAAGAGCAGCGACGACGCTAGGTTTTCTTTTCCCCAATCATCCCCATCACCCAATTTCTCCCATCATCTTTTATCAATAGGGATTTTGGATCTGGCACTACTGAGGTATTTGCACCGGTACAGGCGCGGCTCAGCATCACATTAGCGAAGGCGTTCATTCTGAACTTCAAGTTTGATTTGTCATTATTATTATGGGATATTACTACACTTCACGGCCAGTCTCTTTTGGCCTCTTTTCGTAAATCATCACACAGGGAACAGGTAGATACGTGCCACGGCTCAATAATACCTCGGCCACCATCAAGTACTAGCCTAATGTTATTACGTCTGTATTTGTTGACTGGCCAAACCTGAAAGTTTTTATCTCAACATGGCAACCAAGTTCCTTCTGTAACCCACGAGAAGCGAGACTTGGCAGGTCCATAGACGAGACCTTTACAGCATAATCACGTAAAACTTTCGTTGAATCACCACGAACCGAGGTTTCCAAGACGTAAGATTTATTCTTTATTGACTAAAATTCAATTTGCACCAAGACACCGAAATGTGAACCCATTGCAGTTTTCCGTTCTATAATCCTGATGCAAAGCCCTCCTTGAGGTATCAGGTACAGCCAAACCGGACTACAGTCAGTCCTAAACTCCTCTGGAAAGTTCCGAAGCGAATAACTCAAAGCCATTTCATGGAGCTACTCAGCCCCTTTCCTCAAGCCGGAAACTCCGACGGTTTTGAACTCATCAGACTGGTAAATAGAAGGTGCGCCATGCCGTCGTGTCTCCAGCCTCGTCCCCTTTGAATTGATAAAACGATCTTACACGCGATCTGGGATCGCAACTTTGCAGATGAAGCCCTGGAAGGTAACCGACGCAAACAAAGAAACCGAGATGTCAAAGCTGGAGTCGTCTGAGTGCGGTGAAAATCAAGGAAACGGGGGCTGGCATAAAATTGGTGATGTGATCCTCCTAACCATGCTCTTTCCACGCCCAATCTCTTTGATGTGGCTTAAAATTCGATCAGATATGAAACATGAACATCGCTGCTAGTTCGAATCGCTGCGTCAGGACGACTTCTCTGCCATAGCGAGAGACCTGTTGCATGATTCGAGGTCGCCATACTCAGGCAGACCGCTCAAAAAAGAACCGAAGCACACTTCAAGCGGAAGCAGTGCAGAGTTGGAGTATTTGGGTAAAACTCCGGCTTTGGCCGTTGATGGTAGCCATCTAAGGGAGATCTTCCGACTTGAGACCTGAGTTCCCATATCCACTCAAGTTCCAGCCTTTGTATCGAACCGTAGATCCGCCTGCAGAAGGAGGCGGTTTGTGGGGAGGAAGCCCGTGATGCTTCATAGGCGGCGCTGGGAGAGAAGCAGGTGCCGCAGGGAGACTGCTGGGGTGCTGGCGGGACTGAGAATGGGAGGTCTGTGACCCAGTGTGCCCGTTGGTGCCATTGGGCTGATCTTCAGGCTTCATCAGGCCTTTCTCCCGCAGATATTGAATTGATTGAAGAACAGTAAGGTCCTCTTGGTCCTTGTCGTTCAAGATCAAGCGCTGCTGGATGGTGAGGTGGCCATTGTTCATCTCTCTCTCCTTCATGGCTGCCTCCCTAACAGCAGGATCATGTACGAAGCGGCACTTGCCCTTCTTGCCGCAAGTACCTCCCGTAGAGTAGTACTTGCAATGCTTTGAAATGTCTGCTTTTTTTGCAGGAGGGGGTGGAGGGGGGGCCGGCTGAACACGACTTGACGCGACTTCTGGCTCATCGTCTTCAGACTTGATGTCAATGGAGGGGCTGTCTCTCATCTCATCGCCCTCGTCTTGCTGTTCACGCTTGCGCTTGATAGACGATTCAACCTTTTCCAGTTGTCTCCTGAGCTTGCTGGCGAGATTCTCCTCCTTCTCCAGACTGGAATGGATCTTATTGCCACTTCCTTGCGTGGTCTCGGCAGACTTCTTGGCCTTGACACGCGCAGCCGTGGGGAAGCGCTTCTTCCGCTCGGCAATGTATGAAGCGACATCAGTCACCCTACGAGACGGTTAGATAGAGCAAAATCTGACATGGCCATCCGACTTACTGTAGTGCATCTGCTCCTATCAACTTGCGAAGCGTCTCCTCTTCCATCTCATCGTCTTCCGACTCCGAGTCTTGGCCAGGTGTAAGACCAAGGGTGTTAGTCTTACGCTTCTTCTTCTTACCCGAGGCAGCATTGTCGTGCTTATCATGCTTGTGGTGGAATCCACCGTCTTGTCGGTTGTTATGATTGTGATTGTGATTGTTGTTGCCCTGTTGACGATGACGACCCCTGTCGTTGCCGTGAAACGAGCCACGGCCACGTGGGTTGCCACCACGATGACCACCACGACCTCGACCGGCCTGTCCATCATGTTTGTAGTACGGCTCCTGTGGAGGAATCGCTGCGTGAGGTGCCGGAGGAGGGGCATGATATGGATATTGAGGTGGAGCTTGGTATTGGACGGATTGCGCGCGTGGATCGGCATACGGCTGGCCATATCCACCATTCGCTTGATGGTGAACTCCTTCACCGCCGTAGGCTACCGGAGCAGGCGTGGCCATGTTAGGACCTCGGGAGCCGCCTCGATCGTTTCCGTAACCGCCTCGGCCGCGACCAGCGCCGTAGGGACCTTGAGCATGGGGTTCGTGTCCAGCCCACGGCTGGCCAGCGGTATACGGTGCAGGAGCGGGATACGGTTGGGCGTAGGGTTGCTGCTGTGGTTGTTGCGGCTGCTGTGGCCCGTAGGCTGGCTGGTGAGATGGCGGCTGAGGATGTTGTGGGTGTTGAGGATGAGCGTAGACCTGGGGAGCGTAGTTCGGATGGTAGTTGGAAGTCGACAGAGGCGTAGGAGCGTGAGCGCCATGCTGGGCGGCGCCATGTCCGTGGTCTTGATGCCACTGCTGCTGAGGAGGGTAGTTGCTGCCAGCAGGTGGTTGCTGCTGGGCGGGATATCCTGGGCTATGTTGAGGGTATGGCTGCTGGCGGGGATATTCGTACTGAGGCTGATGGGCCGGGGGGTACTCTGGGCGACCATTTGATGGATAACCAGCACGCCCGCCACGGGCAGCATGAGCACCTCCGCCTCGTGAATGCTGTTGGTAAGCGCCGCCGTGATGCCCATATCCAGGATGGCTAGCCTGGGCAGCCGGAGGCGGAGGTGGTGGGGGACCGTAGTTGTAGCCCGACATGTTGGCTCGAGGACGACGACGCGTTCTTACTATCTTCGCAGTCGAGTTGCCAAAGAGCGTTCGGGGGTTTTGAAGAAAGGAACCGTGAAAAAGTGCAGGAAACGCAGTGTTCGATTGCAACGACCTTGACGATTTGTGCACCAATCTTTATTTGCAAGAGTAGCAGGGATGGTTCAAAATTCGATCAACGTAGCAGAAAGCAGTATTGCCTTTTCGAAAGTAGCGTGTTCTATGCAGAGAGCACCAGTTTGAGAAAAGAAGAAAGGCGGCCGACCTGTAAAGATTGAGGTGATGAAGGAAGGGAAGCGAAAGGCTCTAGGATGGAAGAGACGGCTGGACGCAGTTTCCCTGACCTGACGTGAAGGTGAGGCGAGTGCGTGGAGCCCCTAGGACTTGAGCTTTCGGAGTCGCCCTACAGTCATTTCGGGTCCCGCAATAACAATTCCAGCGGGTTGCGACAGAGGCGGGCCGCCTAGACAGACCTCGAGCCACTAAAGCGTGGTAGGCCATAGGGATACACATGCACCCTGCAACCGCTAAGGCTAAACTCAACGTAGAGGGCGGTAAGAGTCAATCTGCTTCCCAAGACCAAAGCGCCCCGCGATTTTGCCGATTTTGCGATCTCACTGAGCGCCGGTACAATACACTGAACCACGACTCGAAAGACCCAAACACGACCCTCCAGAGGCGTTGAGGGGACGGACGATGATACTGGATCAATAATATATTTACCCGGGATCTTTTTGGTCTGCAATCCGCCGTCTCGAAGACAAAGCGCTCAACATGTTCATCCTAGTAAGACTCGAAAACTCACAAATTTCACCTGAGTGTGTCACTAACACAAAGGACCCAATCAAGACCAAGATTGCGGATCTGGTCGAAATCGCACCAGAAGACTTCCGCAAGAAGAGCAAAGCCGCCATTGAGGACAACATTAATGCGAAGTACGCCAACAAGGTCATACAGAAAATTGGTCTTTGCATCTGCCTCTACGATCTTCTGTGGACTTCTGAGGGCCTCATCGGCCATGGCACAGGCCTCGTCAACGTCAATGGTAATTCCACGAGCTCAAGCCCATCAGACTTTTTTTTTAATCATCTTTAACAAATGCGGCAGTGGAGTTCAGACTCGTCGTCTTCAGACCCTTCAAGGGCGAAGTCATGATTGGAAGAATTAGAAGTTCGACGCCGGCCGGCATCAACCTGAGAACCGACTTCTTTGACGATATCTTCATCCCCTTTGATGAGCTTCCCGAAGGTGCCGAGTTGTACGTGCCGCCAGACCTGCCTTGTCACCTTGATGCGTCACTAACACGACTCTAGCAACCACTCAGAGCAGCTATGGATCTGGAACATTGAGGACGACAGACTCTTCTATGATAATCACGAAATGGTCAGATTCCAGGTCATCGATGAAGAGTGGCACGACCAGACACCTGCAGGACCAAGCCAGGGCGAAGAGGCTGCTCCGCCAAAGCCGCCGTACAAGGTGAAGGGCACCATGGCCATGGAGGGTCTCGGCGTATGCCTCTGGTGGGACGGACAGGGCGGCGAATAGCCTTCAGATGGCTCCTGAAATCTCACAAGCGTTATTCAGACATGGAAAGGGCCCCGAGGCGTACGGATGGGCGCGGATTTTGTGTATTGTTCTACAATTCTATGACTTGATACCCGCAAGCAGTCTTGACTCCACATCATCCAAAACAGAGTAGTGGTCGACGACGGCAATGTTCTCCGCCTCGCCCTTGAACTGCTTGTCAGGGTCGACACCGGGTCCAAACATCTGAGGGGCACCAGCGGCACCTCCCATCTGCCCCATTTGCTGGGCCATCTGGCTGGCAGCTTGATGATGTCAGTATGCTGGAGGGGCAAGGCTAAGATAGTTTCAGACTTACCGTTGTCGCTTCCCAAGATGAAAACGAAGACAGACTGCAGACCAAAGATGCAGAGGAAGTACCAGGAGATACTGGACATCCAGCGGGGATCCATGTCCTTGGTCGCCACACCCGCCTGAAGCATGCTCTTGAACTTGATGGTGATAGGGAAGGGTAGTTTCACTAAGACAGTCAGCAGCCGCACAAAGTCCTGATGTTGATCATGCAAAACATACTAATGACGTATCCGCTGAAGAAGGCGTTGATCCAGCTCATGATCAACGTGTTGGGAATAATCATGGCCATGTTATTCTTCATCATCCCCATCATCCCGTCCATCGCGCCAGGGTCGGTAAGCGGATTCGCGGGCGGCTGGCCCTTCTGATCCGGGTTCTTCAAGTACGCGCCGGACTCGTACGCCGCGACGAGCGCATCGCGGCGGGCCTCAAAGGACTTCTTGGACAGGACGTGGTGGTTGGTGCGGACCGTGACGCCATGCATCAGGCTGCGCTGCTCCTTGAGCGCGGGCTTGTCGAGCTTCTTGGGTGCGGTGGCGAGCAGAACCGTGGCGTAGTGACGCAGGATGCCGGTCAAGACCATGACCACCGTGATCGGGAATAGGATCCAGTAACTGTCGGGTTTGTCAGGTCAGCATACGCGGTTGCAACTGAGGACGGGCAAGGCGGGACTTTGCGTACAGGAGCTGGGGATCCCGATGGATCGTCTGCACCGGGACTTGGGCCATTCTGGGCTTGTATGTGACGATTAGAGCCGGGCAATGGTGTATTAGAGACGGTAACGGCGCTCGTCGTTGCGATGCAGCCAGGTGGTTGAGAGCTCCGCCTGCATCAGTGTAATCTGGTGGAGTTGGATGTCTGTATCGAGTAGGAGCTTCCTCGGGTGCTTGTTTCGCCGAGCTTCCGAAAGACCACCTTCCACTTTCACCTCTGCTCACGGACGGGACTGCGCACAAGGGTCCAAGCTGTCCTAGACTCCTAGCTCCGAAAGCCAGGCTGGAGGTTACAAGCCAAACTATCACAACTCCACGCCTGCCCGCCTCACGCATAGCTGTCAAGTCTACTCGAAAGAAGAATCCCGAAAACTGAAGTAGACAAAATGTCTTCCGAAAAAATTACGGTCCATAATCTGGCCGGTATGCACTTCCCTTCACCCTTCTATGGCCCTGCGCTAGGCCTAGCTATCGCATCACACTAACACAAGCTCCCTCCCCCCAGACCTGAAGAATACCTCGGACGATGCTCTCCCCAACTACCTCAACTCTCTCAAATTCACCCAGTCCCATGCGCTCACCGATGTCCGCCTCGCGCTCGGCTACTCAGCATTTTTGATTGCGGGCGCATGTTTCCTTTGGGATTATAAGCTCGGCTTCGACAGCACAAAGTACTACACGGCCGCCGCCGTGGTCCTCTACTCGATCCTCAACGGCGCTCTTACGCTATGGATCTGGTTGAAGGAGGCAGGCACCGTGTATGAGGGCACATCACCCTCAGGCGAGAAGGTAAGGCCACTTTGCTTTCTTTCGTGCCCTCTCAGCAGCTAGCTGCATGTGCTCCCAGGATATGGACAAACCTTGACTTACACGCCCGCGAAACAGGTCAACATCGCGACATCCACAAAGAAGAACGTACCGACCTACAACATGAAGATCACCCTGACCTCGAAGAACGGCGAAAATAAAGTCATCAACCTCTCACAACCCTTCAACCAGTGGTTCGACTCACAAGGCCGCTTCGTCGCGGTTCCCTTCCAGGAGATCCTCGCTACCAACATCCCCGCCGTCGGCAAGCTTGACCCCAAGCGTATCGCATCCACCTCCCAGGGATACTCGACTGACGTCCTCGACGCGCTGTACGCGGAGAACACGGCGACGGGGAGCGGCGCGGAGGCGGCCAAGGGTGGCAGCAAGAGACGCAAGGCATAGACAGGGCCGGACTGGAGGTGGTTTGGACTTGTTACCGCATGGGGCTTGCCAATAAACTTTTTTGTGTAAATTACGGATAATTGGAACCGTCAAAAGCATGGTGTCTGTGTTTTTGCTTAGTATATTGCTTCAAAGTGCTACAATCGCACCATCTATGCCTTAGTGATAATTATCATTATTCGCTCCATTCCTCGGCCGGCTTATGCTCTGGACAGCATTCATGCGCAGCAACCAAAGTGTCTCTGGTGAAATCATTGCAATGCCTTGTGTGATTTTTATCTCATTAAACTGGATGCTGGTCGTCTAATACTGATGATCCATTGGACCTCCAAACGCCTCGCCATGCCACCAACCCTCACCATCATGCAAGTCCGCCACATACCTCGTCTCCCACTCTCTGTTCCAACACATGAGTCGCTGCCCTCCTATACCAACAAACCATCACTTTCGTGCCTCGATCAAAGCCAATTCAAACTCGACTGATCCATGCCAAAAGTGCAAAGCCATCACCTCGTGTTCAACTCATTCTTTCGAAACTACTTCAAGCTCTGAAAGTCAACATACGTCAGTTGACCTCGTCCCAAGCCTTACGAGACTTGAGGGCAGCCTCTCTGACCATTCGCGACTCGTCTCCAGAGGCCTGAGCCAACAAGCGCTTGGCCTGGGACGCCGAGTCGAGGAGATGGCGATGCTCAAAGTTGGGCGGCAGTTGTCCGATAAGACGAACGACCAAGGCCCGGCATTGCGCCTCCTGGAATCCGGAACGGTCAAAGGGTACGTAATTCTCCGGCATCCAGGTGTTGTCTTCGCCGGCTTGCGTCGTGTCTCTTCTAAAGATCGACAGGGAGGCATCAATGATGCTCTTGAGGAATGGTTGCATGCGTCTGGGCGAGTTCTCCGTGACGGCCACCAAGATCTGGAGACCGGCTGCTACATCTGCGCTAGCCGGCAGATTGCGGATCGCGCAGAGAATGATTCGGATAAGATCCTCCGTGTCGTCCTCGTAGTGCGCGTACTTGATGTGCCTGACTGCTCTCAAGACTGCAATGCTATAATTGGCCGCAACAAGCATGTCATCCTTGCTGTTCGAGCCGGCAGGCCAAGCCTTGGGCAGCATGGGCTTGACCAACTCGTAGTAGGCCCTCTGCACCCAGAGCTTTTTAAGCTGACCGTAGAACTCGGGCTTTGCGAAGTCCAGGTCACCGAAGATGAAATCCATGCTGCGAGCAAGCGTGTGGCCAATCTTCTTATTACCAGGACCTTGAGTTATAGCCGTGAGAACATTCTTAAGAGCGTTACCAGTGTAGCGTCGGAGAATGCCGACTACAATCGCGTATACAGGCCTTGCCAGAGCTGCTCTGAGGTCGTTGGGGCTGTTTCCAGCCACCACATTCTCCTCATGGTCGAGGTAGCCAGTGATTTGCTCCAGCTGGTCAGACAGTCTCTCTTCGCTGACAACGAAGTTCATTTGATATTCCATAATCTGGACGATATCGTTCAAGTTCTCAACCTTGTATTTGTTGGCGATGACGCACAGAATGGCCGTAACGACTTGCCGGCACTTTGGCGAGTCTGAGTGGTCTCTGGTGAGAAGGCCAGCAATCAAGATCTGGTGTGCGGTTCCTCTTTCAACCTAGAACAGAGTGTTAGCAAAGCTTCCCTGGTCTTAATGCGACGCTTATCTTACCAAACGCTCGACTGTGGTTGGATGGAAAGCTTGAATAACGCCGAAGGAGAGGATGACAGTACGGCCGTGGCTGAAACCACTGATGGGGAACTGGGGAGGATCTCTCATGTTGTAAGGAGTCTGCGGAAGACCCATGGTCCTCAGCATGGCCGCTCGCAACTCACTGTTGTTCCAGCTGTGGGTCTCGGTGGGATTGGGATGGCGATACTGGTCGGTTCCACGGAAGAGTGTTACGACTTCTTCGTTCAGAAGTAGGTTGGTCTGCTGGTATTCGCTCATGTGCTGGATAGTGAACACCGCAATATTCGAGAGGCGGTGCAAGTAGGCATCCTCTTCATTCTTGTCTTCCGGATCCTTCTTGCCAAAGTCGTCGCTCAAGGCAAGTGAAAGCTCGGAATTGTCGGCATAACTGATGATCTTGGTGGCCCGTCTATAGAGCTGCCGAGTGACGTACAGATTGATCAAGGCGAAATCACCTTGAAGATTGTCAACTTCCTTGCTCTCGTCCGTCGCTGACATCGAGACGATCTGGTCGTCAGGGAGGCGTGGCAGATTAGGGAAACGATTTGCCACGTAGCTAACCCAGTTGTCGTCGAATCGCGTGTCGCTGAAGTTGTTTTTGACGGGCAAGTTGATGAGTTCTTTGGCTCCTTCCTTGAACTGAATCATGGCCGAGAATATGTAAGTAGCAATGACCGACCAAATCTTCGGGTCAGCTTTGGCGTCCTGCATCTTGTAGAGGTTAACCAGAAGCGCTTGCATGAAGTATGTGTAGTGTTTGAGCTTCTCAGAGCGAGGAGATTCGGAGCAAAAGACGTAGGTCAGTCTGGCGAGATTGTGCTTGAGAACATTGTGCATGCTGTCCAAGTTGTTGGCCGAAGGGGAAGCACTATACGCGTCACAGACTCGGAAGCATATATCGATGAGCATGGGCTGCGCCGGCGGGTGTGCCATCGTAGCCTTTTGTAAAGCAATAGCAGCCTCGTCGGATATCTTGAGTTGATTCTTGTCCTTCGCCGGTTCGTCAGGGGCTTGAAGCGCAAGAGTTGCTAGGTTGTCGCAAATTTCGTTTAGTGTTTCTTCTGGAAGCATCGGCTGGTTCGACTGTCCAATTTGAGCTGCTCTCTGACACACCATCAACCCCAGACCTTTGGTTGCCTGTTGACCGATGGTGATATCTTCGGGTTGCGCAGTATCTTGCAGAGCTTTTTGGAAGAGAGGCAGGTACGTCTGCTTGTAGATGGGGGCAAGTAGCGGCTCGGTAGATTTGAAGGCCTCGGCGTCCTCGACACTCAGCTCCACGCCTCCTCCAATTAGGGCTAACCGCAACTCGAGTAGAGAATTCAGTAGAATCAGGAGATTCTTCGTGTGGTCAGGTGACTTTGTGTGGCGGAGATTCTCCTTGATATGGGTCACAGACGGGGAGATCATGAGTGCAAAGGCAGCTGGCTTTGCGCTGTGGATGGAGATCAAAAGCTTTCCTGAGGCTGCCGTGTAGATCGGGTTTGACAGGTCCTCCAAGCAGTCTCTCTGAACAGTCAGGGCAAAATCCCTGAGCTCGTCACCGGTAAGTCTCTTGGCGACTGTTCGAATGACTTCCAAGGTGGCATTGATGGTGTCCTCGATCTCCCCATTGCGGACTTCATACTTGAGACTGTCCCAAATCTTGTTGGTAAAGGGGGCGACTCCTTGCTGAACATGTTCATAGCCGCTCAGACATGCGGTCATGGTCTTGAGGATGTCAACCTACAGCAGTGTCAGCACAGGTATAAATGACATAGTCCAAGGAAGAACACAAACCTTGACGTTGACACTGACACTGTCCGGCTGGTCTAGCCTGCTAAGGAGGTATGGAATAGCCTTGTCAGCGACACGATGATGTGCCGAAAAGCAAGCCCTCAAGGCCAATTTGAGATCATCCGCTGTGATTCCCGAAGGATGCTGTGATGTCCTTAACGATATGGGGAAGTATGCTGAAAAGATACTGAAAATCTCATCCACGACCTCCGGTGCAGGGGAATAGTCTGAAAGAAAGACCTTCAGAATCTTGAACCAAGTCATCAGACACTTGGGGTCTCGCTCATTGCGACATAGTTGCAAAAGATCCGTGATGAAGCCCGAGGTTGTGCCGTGTTGGTACTGCAAGTCGTTTGCTACATCCGGGTTGGTGATAAGATGGTCCAGAAGTTCATATACTGTTGCACGGGTTTCTGCGACCTGGGACTTGAAATCATCACCAAGGCTGCACACACTCTGGATAATGTCGTTTCCCTTTCGTGGCTGGAAAGTCTTCATGCCAGCAGTTCGGTCAAGAGCCTTCGCAGCGGGCATAATGCCAGCCTTGTGGTCGACCTTGAACATGCTTCCAAAAAAAGCCACGAGGAGGTTGGCTGAGAATGCGGCGTTAGCAATGAGCCTTTGAGTACACATGCCTTCGGCCTTACTTACTTTGATCGGCTTTGAGGAATGCGGGATCCAGATGCTCAAGAGTCCCTGCTAGAAAACTCAAAGCTAAAGAAGGTGTCATAGTCAGTAATCATCTTTATTCCAATACGGTCTTTACTCCTGTACCTTTGGACCGTGCAATGACATCACCATCGCCGTCATCCTGGTCTTCATTTGCGCTGGGCATCCAGGGTCGAATAGATTCTACCCATCTTGCAACTGGATTGCTAGGTCTGGGTGCTGACTGGATCTCTGGGGTCATGTCAGCTGTTTGCATGGTTGGTGAAAGGGTAGGAATGGCCATATACATACCCGAAGCTGCCTCCTGTGTGATTGCTGTTTGTCTCTCAGTATCGTCGCTAAGCACGAACTCGAGTGCAAGTTTCCGAAAATCGGCCATGATAGTCGTGAATTGCGATGAAATCAAAAGCGTCTAATGGTAGTTTCGACTGCCCAATGTATCTTGCTCTATCGAAGTCCACTCCGCGTAGTGTGAAGATGGGTGAATGGCAAGCTGATATTGTCTAGATGCAATCGGAAAGGTGATGTAGTAAGAAGTTGTGAGATATTCCGTCGTTCCTTCTCATGTGCTTCCAAAGTTGACCCCGCGCCTGCTCAAAATGCGTCCCGAAAGAGTGAAAGAGAGGCAAGACGTGCTCCTCTCATGCAAATTGCTTGTCTAGATATCCAATTTTATGAACGTGGTAGTCGCTTTAGATTGGGGGGAAAATGGTGGTTTGGCGAATAGTCCGCTGGGTATTTGTCAGTTGCCGATACTGGGCTTCATACCACCGAAAGCCGGTGATGAGTTGTGAGATAATTACTCAGGCTTGCTGGGTTGTTGGTGGGGGACATCTCAATCGAGAAG